TCTTCAAACCCACAAGCTGACATTTAAAAGGCAAGTAGCCAATTACCTATAATCTTGTATTCGTCAGCTTTGTTCTCCCACTTCTCAGAAGAATGGAGGACGCAAAATGCAAGGAAGCGCAGGCCCCGGCTCATTATTTATTTAGCTCGATGCGCGTCTTCCTGGAAGCCACCTGCTTGGTCAAGCAAACATTGCACTTCTCTTTGGCAGTGTCTTCACATTGTGGTTTTTTGCATGTAATATGAAGCTCAGGTTTTGAGACATTAAATCACGTCTGGTTGATGGGATATTGTTTGGTCTTGCAGAAAAGGAAAGAAAGCATCGTTTGGGTTTCATTTTGAAATAAATTTCCATTTGGATTCGATGACATTTTGCTTTTGCTGTTGTTGCCTTTGTCATGGGGTCATGGCTGGCAAAAGGTTTTGTTCTAGGAGAAGACTTAGTGGCGTGGAGGTGATGGTGGAGCTAGTGATGCCGGCGGAGGTGGTGGGCGTGGGGGTGATGGTAGTATTGAGACTTTCAGAGGAGCCTTCTCTTGAATGAAACTGGGTGTCTGGCCAAGGTTGGATGTCCGGGATTCCAGTGTGAGATATACCCCGATTCTCAGGAAGGACTGTGGAGAGAAGAGCGCCCCACAAGTGGCCAGAGTGGAATTCTATGGCGTGAGTGATACAGGGGCAGCCGAGCCCAGCCAGCTCAGACCCCACAGCACAGCTGGAAACTCAAGTTGGGGCCCGATGACCCCAGTTCCCGCAGCGGGAGCCAGTCACTGCCAGTACTGTCTGCCAGTCAGGCAAGGTGTGGATGGTTCTGAGTGTGGGCGGGGCCTCAGGCACCCAGTGAATGCAGCCTCCCAGGGCCCTCCCTCCCTTCCCTCTGGTTTCCTTAGCCCAACAGGGACCTCTGAGCAGGTGTTTCACCAGCAGCTAACGCGACCATCAGTTTTACCTGGACTCATGTAGCTCAAGCCCGAGGTAGCACTTTACAGTGAGAGGGCGTCTTTAACGGGCGTGTTTCTGGTGCCGCACCGGGCACCTTGAGCAGTGTGCGCTGGTGCCCGGCTGCGTGCAGAAGGCTCCGTGTGGCAGCCTCACTGGGCAGTGCTGGGCCGCCAGAGAGCAGCGCGCGTGTCCGTCTGCTGGTTATTCACATGCGTCCGTGCGGGCGGGGACACCGAGCACAGGACCCCAGGATGGCGGGCGCAGAGCTCACTGCCGACAGCGGTCCTCGGCCAGCCAGCCGTCTGTCCCTGCGGCTCAGCGGGGCGGTCACTGTCCATCCATCGCTGCCCTGACTGATGAAGAAGTTGCCTTCCCTGGGCCAAGACAGTGAGGTGCCTAGCATGTGCCAGCAGCAAGACGGTGCTGATCTTAGGAGAAGGGAGCGCCACTTGTCTGGAAATTGTTCTGACTTGGCTGGGGGGAAGCCCCAGCTTTAAAAGCACCTGTGTACGGGCAGGTAAACTAGGGTCACCCTTACGGAGAGCAGCTTGGATTCATCTTGAGCTAAAATTGGAAGCACAATGCAGCCCAGCGATCCCACTCGTGGGCGCCGACCCAAAGGCCAGGAAACCAGTGAAGGCGAAGACCCTGCTCCCGCCGTTTGAGGCCCCAGTGGCAGACGCTCCGTGGGGAGGCGACCCGGGTTCCCAGGAGATGGGTCAGCAGCCTGTGGCCTGTCCCGGGGGCGGCTGCTGGTCGTCCGGGAGAAGGAGGGACGTCTCCCCGCTCGCTGCACGGAAGGCGTCCCGGGAAGCGGCGGAGGGAGGCAAGCCCGAAGCATGAGGACCACGCTGGCATTTGCATCGTGGGTGGTTTGACGAAGCCGCATATTCACGAGAACTAGCGGACATCAGCACCGTGAGCGAGTTGAAGAGTTTCCGGAGGAGGGAGGGAAAGGGACGGGGCGAGAAGGGGTGGGGTGGGAGGAAGTCAGCCATCCCGCCGTCAAATTCAGGTGTGCGGGAGGTGTCCTACGTGGGTCTGTTAGCCAGCAAGCATGAGCGCCGCGGCCCAGGCGCCCAGGCTGGGGCTGGGAGCTGCCGGAGACGCGAGCGGAGCGTGTCACGTGCGCTCCACGTGGATTCTGGGGGCGCACTGCTCTGCGCCTGCAGGTGCATGAGGTCTGTTGGGGAGCGAAGGGCGTCCTCTTCTCTCCCAGAGTGTAAACCCGAGGCACTCTTCCCAGGGCTTCCAGCTCGCTCAAGAAGGCGCCGTCGGAGGGGAACCCAGTCTTCCCCATCGGCCGCTGGGAAGGGCCCAGGCACATCTCAGCTCGTCTCAGTGTGCTGGGCCTCTCGCGCCTGCAGCCCCCCGCGAAGCACGTCGGTGCCCCTCGATTCACAGGGCCGGGTGTGTGCGTGTGTGCCCTGGTCATGCTGTTGGGCCTTAACCTCTGAGACTTTCTCAGTTTTCAGTATTTCACTCATTTTATTTTATTTTTTTTAAGATTTATTTATTTGCAGCCCTCCCTGGTGGCGCAGAGGGTTAAAGCACAGCACTGA